AACATAAACAAAAAAAAAAAAAAAAAAAAAAAAAAAAAAAAAAAAATCAAAAAAAAAAGGTAAAAAAAAAGAAAAAAAAACTCGAATGCGGGTATAATCCTATGATATCTAAGCACCAAACCTATGTCCTACTCTTTCCCCTTCTTCTTTCCATAATCTGTATTCTTGCTTCTGCGTCCTCCTGTGCGACAGTTTTGTAAAATAAAGAAGGTTTTGTATTTGTACGAGGAAAAAGGAGTTCAGGCGCGACATGATTTACGTTTTGCCGCACATTTGATATAGTCGCTGAATAATTAAAAAAAAAATAAAAATAAAAATAAAAAAAAAACACTATTTAGCATCAAGATCAAAAAGATGACAGGAAAAAATACGTAACGATATATACTATTATTTTTTCCGTTAGATCGTGTATCACGACCTACAGGCGGAATTGTTTTTACTTCCGCAGCCGCGATTAACTCCTTTGCTTTTTCTATAGTCAAATATTCTAGTTCAAGAGGTCGACCCGTCTCAGCTGGAAAAATAATATGCCAAAGCGATTGTCGAGCATTAATGGCTGATGCTAACGTCTTGTACTATCACAAACATTGGTAATGAAAATAATATAAACGTCATTTACAAGTATAAATGGAATAAAGGTGATAATTACAAGTAAACTTCATAAAATGGCACATGCCTGTACATAACAATGAGATTTAATTTTATCCATCCAGAAATATTCAATCTCCCCGAATTGCTGTAATAATTCTCGAACCATTTGTACTGTTAAAGGACGGACGAAATTTTTGACATAAAGTGTCGACGTCGGTTCATGCTCGGATGGGGGCACTATAAAAATTTTAGAAACAAATAAATAACAAATAACATTAAATATCTAGAAAGCATTTCTTATATCCATTAAAACTAACCTAGACGCTCTGGCTCATGGAATTTATTTCTACTACTTTGGTCATATTCTACAACCTAATTTAAAAAGTCATTAAATATTATAGATGGATTAAGAAAATTTGTCAATAATCATTACTACTTCAGCGGTTACCTTAGAATTACTACCATCATTTTGAAATATTTCGGATTCGATATTCACCAATGGTAATTGAGGAACATTGAGCATCTCCTATTAAAACATAAGATAGGATAGATCAGTATAAATATTCTATCTTAAATAATAACTACATCTTAGCACGTTCATATATATATATATATATTTTTTTTTTTTAAAAAAAAAAAAATAGAGACCTTCAAACTATCTGTGGTAATAGAATCGTCTTCTTCATCAACTACAGTAGTCATAAGAGAAGGTGGAGGGAGATCTGTTGACGATACGCCTTTTGTATCATCAATACTCTTTCTGTGGGTTTTTAGTACCCTCCTTGGCTTTTTCAATTCTTCAATTAATTGAGCATTTTCGGATGGATTTGTAGCTGTAGGCGAAGTATCAGACGTTACTGTTAATGTAACAGAATCAAAATAAGTTAATACTCGCAACTCGTTTAATTTTTTTTAATTTTTCAGTTATTACTTTGCATCAGTAAAAGGAGTACTCTAACCTGTAGAATCCGGCATTGTAAAAGAGAAATAATACGTATTTACAACGAAAGCTATATTCACGAAAGCTAACGCTAAATAAATGATGTCAACTTTTCTTTATAATATATTCAATATTTAATAGATATGCAATTTTATCGTGGCACAAGTCACATGGTCAGCATATGATACAACATTCTATTAACATACTGATACGCTTTATTAACATATTAACATAAAACATACGTTTTAATGATACATAAAATCTCAAAGAACTCAAAAAGTTAAAAACTAAATTTATTGAATATTTGCTAACGTATTCTGATACAACAGCAGCAAGCGTAATGAAATACTTTAATATCCCTTTAACTCCCTTTAACCACGTTGACTTATTTGCTATTATTAAGAAGCAAAGCGAAGAACGAAATTCGTTATGACGACAACTGTTTTCATCAGTTAAACAGGAATTAGTTCAATGTAAACTATGTAATATAAAAAGAAAGGCAAATATCTTATTTAAAACGCTCACCGATA